GGATGGCAGAACCTGAAAGTTTGCAGCCCGTCAGGGTTCCGTTTTCAGCCCTTGATACCTTCAACGTCTATTAAACTTTTAACGCCAGGTGGTCATTCAGGAGGGTGGACAATTTTGAGGTGAGGGGTTTGCAAGGGGCGGGGCATGTGGAAGACTGATAGCTGCCTGTAGGAGGTTGAGGAGGCTGCGTTTCTCGAGTTTTACATTTCAAAATTGAAACGGTGTGGGTCCAGTTTTCTCAAATGAAACGACAATTCTCGTAGGCGCCAGGACATAGAAGTTAAAAAAACCCAAAATCTGAAAAGGCGCGTGCGGGCGAGGCCTGAAACCTCTTTTCCAACCAAGACAAGCAGCATGCGTTATTCTCAACTCAAGTTGGAAAAGTTGAATCGGGGTCCACAGGCCCTGGCCCTCCGAGCCTGTATTGCGCCTGATCACTGTCGATTTCTATCCGATGCTCGTCATCAAATTATATCTAGAGAACAGGGGCGGATGGAGCGCATGTGCATATACACACACACGCATAGGCTTGCAACTTATTTTATAGCCGAGACTGACAGCAGGCGCCATTCTCAACTTGGGCTCGAGCAGTTGCACTTTTGGGGCCCACAGATCCTGACCCTCTGAGCCTGCATTGCGCTTGATCACTGTCGATTTTGGCCCGGTGCTCGTCGTCAAATTCTATCAGCAATACATGGGTAAATGGAGCATGTGCGCACCTACACATACACGCACACACACACACGTGTACACAAACACACATATACATACATACACTTAGAGTTGTGTTTAGCGAACATGAAAAACAAACACACAGCATAGTCACTACCTTACCTCCCCAACTACATCAACAAACAAACTACGGGAGACACACAAGTGATTTTACGGTAAGTCAATATCAATTGCGCGCCCTCTCGGTGCAGTTTACTAAAGTGTTGCGAACCAAGCTGACAAATGACAACTAGTTTCACATTCATAAACCATGCATAACGTTGTAGATGTCTTGGCTAAACTGACCCATGAACCCGTAATGGTGGTGGTTACTCCGAATGCTAAGGTGCATATGCCCCATGCAAGGTAGGCTTAACCAACTGAGATGATTGTGCTCACTTGTATCACGCAAGCTCACAAACTAACCCGCCGATTGCCAAGGCCGACGACAACTCGACTACCTATCACGTGACACAATAATGCTCGCTCATCCTAACACACACATTAACTACCTCATGTCCTTTGTCCTCGGCTTATATTGACGTTCGTTCGTATTAAAGTTAACTCGTCGGCGCTCCACGTGTAATCACGGTTGTGCCCTCTGCGCCCCATATCAAGCACAGTAAACACCCTTGTAAAGGTGTTTGCAATGACACTGCCCCCCTAGAAGCCCTTGCCTGTGACACCCTGCCGATGACCAATTGGGCCAAAAGGAACGACCGGTAAAACCAAAAATTGAAAATGACTCTAAGGTAATAAACGCAACCCTACCGGTTGCAAACAATTAAAAATGACTCTAGGGTAATAAATGCAATCCTATTGAGTGCGAACTCATGTATATAAACGGAACCCTACCTTTTTCCCCCGAACATAATGCTTATGCGTTGTAAACGAATATAGCGCATACATTGTGCTTTATTCGTTTCATTCACATATGCGTTGCAAAATGTTTTGGATGAAAGGGGGTCCGGTCCAGGCTGAGTAAAGCTCAATTATAGTCCATGGCCAAAAGCATTACACAAACAAAAAATGTGTTGTGGTATCTTTCCATCTTTTGGTGCCATTTGAGGCCTCCCTACAGTCCTCTCGCCAAATGTGAAAAATGAGAATAAATCTTCGGCTATAACATGAAAAAATACAACACCCGTGCGTAGTCAGACGCGTCCCTCATGGGTTCCCGCTGCCCCCATTGCCACTTTTTTTGCCGTCGTTTGTCAGACGACGAGAGACAACCAAGAAGAGCGTAGGGACACTATACTACTCTCGAGATACACAAACGACAAAAATCATGGCGGTGTATCTTTCCATGTTCTAGTGAAAGATTCACTCTCTTTTTGCACATGTCAAGAGTAGTGGAGCGAGGTCCAAGGTCACACACACACACACACACACACACACA